TTCTAGGAATTAATTTGTAGCATATTGTGCAAAGTTATCACTTCATAATTAACTGGAAATTTTTTTAAAACCTGGCTTTCCTAAAAGGTAAGTTGGGGAGCATTGCTCTAAGGAGGGGGTCTCAAACTCCAGTGTGGACAGGTACCAAGCGGGTGACAGAGATGAGCAAAGTGGGCATGACAGAGACTGGGGCCAATTGTGGAGCGTGGCCTTGAGAAGGGTGCATTCTGCCTCAAATGCTCGTGGCCTTGTAGAATATAGAGTAGGTGCCAAATCGTCCCATTTTATCCTGAGAGAATCCAGAAGATCCAAATTTCTGTGCGCAATCTCTTGACTGGTTAAACACTGAAAATTTTACTTTAAAAGCACAACACTTAACCCAAGTGTCCATGGACGGATGAACGGATTGACAAAAGTACAGTAAGTGAATGCAGCACATGGATCTTCACCCTTACAAGGAGTGATAGGCACTAAACAAGGGTGAAATTTGAATACATTATGCTCAGCAAGAGAAAAAGCTGGACATTCAAATATTCTTTTTTTTTGTTTTGTTTTTTCTTCCGGTACCGGGAACCGAACTCACGACCTTGCGCTTGCCAGGCAGGCGCTTTTGCCGCTAAGCTAAATCCCCAGCCCCAAAGCTGGACATTCAAAGACAAATGGTGTAGGATCACACTCACTGGGTATTGAAGAAGTCAAATTCATAGGGGCAGAAGGTAGACAATGAGGTGCTAGTCGTTCACAGGTACGGCGCTTCACTGTGGAAGCTGAAAGTTGTTCTGGAGGCAGATGGTGGTAAAGGCTACACAGTCACACGTAGGTCCTTCATGCCATTAATCTGTACACTTAAAACTGGTTCAAACGGCAAATTTTACGTAAATCTCACCAAAATTTAAAAACAAACAGCCACTTCGGAAGTCCAGAGCAAGAATGCTGTCAGTTTATAATCTCTGGTAAAGAGGGAAAGAGAAACATGTACCAAGTTATTTCCATACAGAAAAGACTCCATAAGAAACCTGTGGTAGGTGAAAAGGGAAATGACCAAGCAAATTCTCCAGGCGGAGGACAGGAAGCTGCAGAAGGAGGACGGTTAAGCCAGGGCTGTGGTTTGGGTCTGGAATCCAGCTCGCCATGCCTCATCTGTAGAAAGTGACTGGCATATGGGGATGCACAGCTGACCTACTATCAGGAGGTAGGACGTGGGGAGGGCCCTTCTTTGAGGGCATGGTCTAAATCCTATGTCTGTCCCTGGCTCCTCCTTTCTCTCAGCTCCCTGACACCACGACATGAGCAACTCTCCTCTGTCTAGGCCCTTCTGCCATGCTGTTTCTGCCTTGGAGCAGGAGCGCCATGCAAGGACTGAGACTTCTAAAGTGGTGGAGCAACATTTCCTCTTGTAAGTTGTGGGTGCCGGGTATTTTGGCTCAGCCACAGGAAACACGACAAAGACACCTAGCCGGATGGGCGTTCACCAGATGGCTTCTCCTGTTTTCATACCCAAGATGGAATCTACCTCAGGAACGCATCAAAGGGGCTCATTTGCCAATAACAGTCCTCTCGGTGCAGGCTGCTTCCACGGAAAAAGCCGCCCTTCCTGTTCTTCTGTCCTTACCTTATCAGACTTGGAATTCTGTCTGGATCCTTAACACTGAAGTTCCAGTCTGAGTTCCTACCCTGGAACCAACTTCTCTACTGAAAGGAAGCTCTGGAGGTGAGGGGGAAGTGTATCATTGGTATCCACCCCTTAAACCCTCACAATGTCCCTGGCCACTGCCCTCCCAGGCTGCTGGAGCAAGCACCCTTTGCAGGAGGAGAGCTGCTCTTGTTTTCCACAGCAATGACAAGCCTATGAGCTGTCAGAGTGTCAGAATCCAAAGGCTGCAAAGCCCAGAGAGAGGATTTCATCAGCACCTGCTGTTCCTCTGGTGGAAGGAAAGCTCAGCATCAAGTCATCCTCAGGAACCCAAGAGCTTGTGGCTTTTGCACTTCATTTATTATTTACATTGTCTTTGATAATGATCAAAAGACAGTCTTCAGCTCATTTTCAAATCACTTATGGAGTTCTTTTTTTACTCCCTCCTCTTCTCCCGGTTGAAAAGAGCCACCATCCATCAGAGGGTAATGAAAAATGCAACAAAAACCATAACTTAATGAAACATTAATGTGACAACCAAGCTGCAAAAAAATCAGAAGAACTTAGGGAAATACAGATATTAATGATCATAGTTATCCATGGTACAAAGTGGCCAGGGACTTAAAAGGACTGAAAGGCGGGGCATGCTGGGAAAATTCAATGGCAGGCATCTGGTGTACAGGGCTGGCAGAGTCTCAGTATGTACAGTGTGATCTGTGTGTCACAGGCAACACTTACTGATAGGCAGGACCTCAGGCCCCCGCTGTCTCAGGTGTGCTTTTCCCTAGATGACTCACCTATGCAGTGCTGGAGACTCTAGAGCTCTGGTGAGACCCTAGAGTTCTCTTCTGAGAACAATGAAGACTATGGCCTTAAGTCAGACTGCCCCATGAGAATGACAACACCTCTCCCAAGCTGTGTGAATCTGTGTAAAGGCTTTGGCCCCCTTATCAGTAAAATGTGATGCTATCATTTTCCTCACTTAACTAAGAACTCAGCAATTCTATATCCAGGATGTAGAGGACATGCCCTAGGGTGGCTATTTACACCTTAGGATGTTGTGATGGTTGATTCTCTGCACCAACTTGAGAAGTTTAGGAGTTTAACTGAGTGACTCAGCAGTTCTACATCCTAGGGTATAGAGGACTTACCCTAGGGTGTGTAGCCTGCATCTAATATAAGAAAGGAAAAGAGGTTTGTTTCCCCTCTTTTTTGCTCTTGTTGCTTTTGCTGTCTTCTGCTGCCGCAAACAGTAGCCCCTCACCATGCTACCCTGCTGTGGAGTCAGCTGATTACAGACTGAAACCTCCACAAATTGTGAGCTAAATAAACCTTTCCTTCCTTAACTTTGGGCATTGGGTATTTTGTCTCAGCAAGGAGAGAAAAGTAACTAAGACAGCATGGTAGACACCACCAAAAACTCACCGTACTTTTAAGGCCACAGAAATGTTTCAGATTCTTTAAACTTTAAAAGTGTAATGATAAAAATGTTTAAAACTCAGAAGAAAAGAAAAGAGAGAACATTTACGTTGCAAAAGCATTTCATTTTCCTAGCACATCAGGAAAAAAAAAAATTTACACTGGTGAGGAGGTAATATGCTATTTTTGACAACCCTTAGGCTGTAACTACTTATTAGATCCTTCTTGCATATCTCTGTCTTCCTGAGAAACCACTTTGAAGATACCACCATGTATTACAGCAGCCATTGATATTTTCCTACTAATCTATCCATAACTGTGTTAAGATTGTAATGTTCCTATCCTATTTCATAATGTGTGTTTATTATTATGTGTTTCCTACAACAACCATTGAGAATAGTTAATGATTTTTCAATAGGTCACTCATGTATAGCTCTATTTATTTTCTTTAGAAGCCTCTTTGAAGATACCAAAGTATAGCACAACAACTCTTGATAATCTCCTACCTCTTTTGTCTCTAACTCACTATTATTTGTCTATTTGTTTTCCTGAGAAACTATTTTGTAGATAATAATATGTAAAACGATAACCATTGATAATTTCCTACCATTTTGTCTGTAATTTGCTAAGTCCCCCCTATTATTATGTTATCCTTCTTTTATTCTTTAAAATAAATAAAAAAAAAATTTAGGGCCTATGTAAATGTATTAAATTTTGCCTTAAAAAGTTGAAGTATTTAGTAATATCAAAAATAATTCTTAATATTGATATTATTTTAGTAGGAGGAGCCTATAGCCCATACACAGAAGTTGCAGTGGGCCCCTGCCTTCTTTACAGGGTGACGTACACGACATAATGTGCTCATGACCCAGGATATCTGCTCCTAGTTCAGTATCACTTATCTGACAGAGAGAGACCTCAGCATCTTCAACCCCTGACTGGCCTGCCATGGTTACAGCTTTCCCTTGATAACATTTAAAATCTCTTCATTGGTCTCAGGGTCAGTTGAGACATCAAAATATCTCTCCTTGCTGCCTTTCAATGTGTTGAATTTTACTCTCCAAGCGGTGTAAACATGGGAATCACCATCTTGAACCAGGAGATGCAGCACACTCTTGAGAACTTGATCTTCGGAAATTTGAATGAAAGAGGCAACCATCATTTCCTTGTAATGGAGACAAAGAAATGCATCCAAAAAGAAGGAAAAGAGGAAGGGAGGGAGAGAGGGAGAGAGGGAGGCAGGCAAGAATGCAGATCCTTATCACAACACCCTGGGCGTTTCTTTTGCAATTGAATTTCACCTCAAGATATTTGAAACTGCATATTACAAAAGAAGGAGCATCAATAAAGACCTCCCCCCTCCTACCTATGATTTGCTGCTGACAGATGAATAATTCCACAAGTGCCCTTAAGCCCAACTCAATAGCCTATTTTGCTAAGAAATTTTAAAATAATAATATTCATCCTAGTTTACATGCTCTAAAAATCTTAGTTCTTCTCCAAAAATAGGACCCTTGTGGTTATTTAGATCAAAGTGATCATTTTTTTAAGCACATGTAGATCTTTACAATAGCTTGTTATTCAACATTTGGTGACAGTGTCTCCTAACAAGCATATCAAAATAGCAGTACATTTTCTTCCTCGCTTTTTTTTTTTTTTTTTTTTTTTTTTTGGTTTTTCTCCGGTACCAGGAACTGAACTCATGACCTTGTGCTTGCCAGGCAGGCGCTTTGCCATTGAGCTAAATCCCCAGCCCCTTTTCCTCGCTTTTTTTAACCAAGCCCAGGAAAGATTTTGAGACAACGGTCTATTCTAAGATTATTCTACAGTTATTACATACTTTTTGGTTGAGGTGCTTTCATTAGAAAACATTTCACTTTGGTTTATTCAATTCAAATGCTTTAATCACATCTCTTAAAAATAATTGTTTGCACTATTTATGCAGCAACAGTTACTACGTGCCAGTTTCTCTTTTAGGTACTTGCAAAAAAAATATACCTTTAGGGAGCTGACGATAGACAAGATATAAAACAAATAAAACAGTTAAACAGAAACCTATTTAATTAAAAAAGAGAACAGAAGGGCTAGAGGTAGGGGGTGGGGGAATTTTAATTAGCGAGTCAAGAAGGGCCTCATCAAGAAAGAGCAAGAGACAGAGAGAAATATAGTGGATGTACATTTTTTAAAAATACGTATGGAATAATAAAATTTTTCAAATTGGAAACCATATCTAGAGTGACTCTTGTTTTACCTCTTCGCAGTCTTTTTTTTTTTTTGGTTTTTCTCCGGTACGGGGAACCAAACTCACGACCTTGCGCTTGCCAGGCAGGCGCTTTGCCGGTGAGCTAAATCCCCAGCCCCCTCTTCGCAGTCTTGCATATCTTAAATGGTACAGTACCTTCAAACTATTCTTAAAGTGATTTTCAGTGCTTTCTTAAAGCCTAGGAATCTATGTTATATGAAATCTTATGTGAACTTCAACATATAAATCAGGGGAGCCGAGGAAACAAAGACAGAATTTACATGCTCATTTCTCCTCTAGGATCCTGACAGTATCTGAACTTGTCAGTCACAAGTGATGCTGCTCTTGCCCCACTAGTTAACAAAACTATGGGGGCTTGTGGAGGCCAGGAATGCTGCCAAATGCTCTATAATATGATATATTGAACAGCTCCCCACAACAAAGGATTTTCCATCCCAAGAGGTTAGTATCATGAGGTCAAGAAACACTGGACTCAATTTAATAAGGACTCGTTGTGTTCCCTAGGCCTCAGTTTCCCTTGTCTGTAAAATAAGAATAATGTGACAGTCTCAAAAATTAAAAATGAAATAATGAAGTGAATTTTCTCAGCATATTTTCTGGTAAAAAGTTATCAAAGATTGAATGATTATCACTATGGCTCAACTCTGTTGTAACTTAAAAACTTGGCAAAACTTCATATATCTTATCGCTGCCCCAGCAAAACCAAGTTTAGGGCTTGGGGACTGTATGGAAGCTTAGCATCCTGCAACACCGGAGCCTTCCCCGGGCCTGTGGGCATTTGGTTGTTGGCTTCTTGAACACTAATGTGATCTGTCGCTGTAGATGACAAGGGTGGATCTCCACAACCCCTTGCTGCACTGAGTAGTATAAACCGAGGGGCAGTCCGTGTGGGAGGATGAAGAAATATTTATGGGGAAAACAGCAAAGGGAAATATTTATAGGGAATATCGCATTTTAGCAATTCCAGTAGCAAGTTTCCCTGCAGAAGGCTCCCCACTGTGTGGACCCAAAGTAGGAGACTCAGAGACAACCAACACATTTCATTTTGTTTCCTTAAGTAATCCACAAAACCTCATAATCTAAGCATCCGGACAGTTGGATTTCTCCACTAGAATGATCAATCCAGAAGCCACTTCCTTTTGATAATGGTGCTTGAGGAAGAAGGAAATGAAGAACTTCAGAATTTGGAGTACTTTCTGGAGCCACATCAGCTGTTAACGTCTGAAAAATAGGTTGACCTAGAAAGAATTTTTTAAAGTTATTACTGTGAGCTAAACACAATCTATCAACCCAGTATAAGAGCAGAGTGTTAGATGGCCTGGGGCATACAGCAGAATGAATGAAATATTTAAATAGAATTAGGAAATTATAATCAAGAAAAACGGCAAACCCACTAACAAAAATGGAGAAAAAAAGAGCAAATAACTGATAAAAAATAGAAAAGGCTGGGAAACATATCAAAATGCTGAAGCACACAATAGTCAAAGATGAACTATATATCACACACTCTCGTATGCCGCTGGCAGATGAATAAATTGGAGCACTTAAATTCTGCATGCTCTTTGAACCAAAAGTCTACCTCTCCGAATTTATGCAAAGTAAGTAATGTTTCATTGGGTATCTCAGATATATTCACTGAAATATATTTTATAAAAATAGCAAAACATGACAATAAAACATAAATGTTCAGCAATAGGGGATTGGTTAAATATCTTAAAGCTTATCCACAAAATTAGACATCCACACCAAGACGTTGTAGGAGAATACTGTTAGGTTGTAAACAGTAAAATAATTTTCCGAAGGAAATTCATGACTCTACACATATAAAAAGCACAGTCAGTATCTGTAAATATTTAAGTATGAATATATATATATATAAATAGATATACACATATATGTTTTGTACTATCATAAAGATGAAAAATGTGCACATTGTGAATATGGATTTGCAACCATATATAAAAAGCTGCAAATACATGTATAACACAAAATGTGTTTATATACACAAACATATAAAATGCAAAGACGAGTGCAGATGTAGTTCAGTGATAGACTGCTTATCATGAGGCCCTGGGTGCAGTCCCTCGCACTACAAGAAGAAGAAGGAAGGAGGGGGCATGAGGACCTGCAGGGAGGGAGAGACCCACATGGAGCAGAGACAGGGGAGGAAGCCCCACACACACCTACAGTTTGATTCTTTTTAACGCTGACATTAAATTCCTGTTCAGGAAACTGGGGTACATGATCATTCATATGACTGATCTTAATGTTGAAAATTGGGGCTGGGGATTTAGCTCAGCGGCACAGTGCCTGCCTGGCAAGCACAAGGTCATGAGTTCCATTCCTGGTACTGGAAAAAAAAAAAACAAAAAAAGAAAAAAAAATGGTGCAAATCAAAGACTCATCCACAATTTTTCCTGTTGAGTAATTCATAACATCAAAACAAACCTGACAAACAAAGAACTGTATAAATATTTTAGACCCATTTACTTGAGGACACGAATCAAATAACTATTATAGTTAGGTGTTTTGCCCAGTGTATTGGTCAGCTTCTCTGTCACTGATGCACAATACTTGATACCCATGACTTGATGGAGGAGAGGGTTAGCTTGGCTCCAGGTTTCAGGGGTTTCAATCCATGGCTGGCTGCCTCCAAGGCAGAAGCATTATGGTGGAAGGGAATGGCATAGCAAAAACATTTAACTCAGGCATGGTAGCTGGGAAACAGAGCAGGGGAACAGTGCCAGAGAGGATGGAGAGAGGGACCAGATAAAAACCCCAAAGGCCACACCTCAGGACCCACACAGACACACCCAGAGGTATGCTATCCTAATCCCCTAGTCAGCTCCCAATCCAATCAAGTTGACAATAAAGTTTAAGCATCATAAGTGTCTCCTCCACTAGACTGAAACCTCTTATAGGCAGAATTCACATCCCTCTCATGTACTACATAGCTCTGGGGACTGAGCACTGCCGTGGTACAACTTAGACGCTAAATAAGAGTAGAACAAATCAATGCACTAACATGAAGAAACAATACTATCAGTTCTTAGGAGGTTCAGATCAGTTTCTCTAGCTGGGTAAACATAGGCAAGTTGCTTGTGAGCACTGATTCCTACAACTTACCAGTATTGTCATAAGAAATGGAGACACTAATGAATATTGTTTAAACATGCAGATAACAGACAATTAATGTGTGGGGAAAGTGAGCATTTACAGGAACCAGCACAGCCCCTGAAACATGCCCTGTTCTTACGTGGTCACTTGCCCTCACTGCTGTTCTGGAGTAAGAGGCCCCGGTCTCCTCACACACACCTGCGAGGAGTCCTTCCTTCCTCAGGGTATAAATCAACAATTTAAATTCCTCCCTTGGAAAATTTTAAGAAAAATAATTAAACCCAACAAAGACAGAGAAGGAAATGTTAAATATATGATCATGTGTCAACACAATGAAAAATAGCAAAACAATGATATCAAGAAACTAGAAGCTGGTTCTTTGAAATAATCAATAAGATGGGCAAAGCTCTAGAAAGACAGATGAGAAGAAAGGGGGAGGGAGAAAGAGGGCAGGAGAATCAATACAGGAATGCAGAGAGAAATATCAGTTCAGATCCTAAGTAACAAATAACACAAACAAGTTTATGTTGATGTTTTCAACAACTTAAGTAAAATGGACCAAATTCTTGAGGAAAAAAAAAGCTACCAAAACTCTTTTAAGGAGAAATAAACTGAACAGTCCTCTATCTATTAGGTAGAAATGAATTTGTAGTTCAGAAAAGGAAATTGTAGTTTACAATCTACTAAAAAAACAAAAACAAAACACTATAGGCCCAGTGGCTTCAATGGTAAATTTTAGCAGAATCTCGTGGAAGAAGTCATACCAGCACAATACAATCTCTTCCAGGAAATACAGAAGAGAAAACTTCTCTACTTGTGTGAGAATAATATTACCCAAATAGCAAGCCAGATTTTTAAAATTAGAAGAAAGCAATAGAACAGCATGCTTCATAAATCTAGACTCAAAAATCCTCAGCAAAATATTAGCTAATAATATATAGTACTGTATTAAAAGGATAGTACCTCATGACAAAATGAGGCTTATCCTGAGAATATAAGGCCGATTTAACATTTGAAAATCAATGTTAGCAATGTCATAAGATAGATTTTATAAATATATAATTTTACATATATCATTATATATCAGTAATGATGAACTGGAAATCAAAGTATTAAAGACAGCACAATTTACAAATCAAATTATGTCAGGATTTTTTCACGGAAAACTACCACACATTAATTAAAGAAATCAAAAGTGAATGAAAAATAAACCTTTTTTATGAGACTCAATAATGCCAGGAAAACAGTGCTTCCCACACTGACCTCTAAACTCAGTCCAAGCCCAAACAAAAGACTTACGATACTTTTAGAGCTCTCAACAAGCTGACTTCAAAATTGACAGGTAAAGGTAAAGAGATTCGAATGGCCAAAATAATTTTTAAAAAGGAAGACAAAGCTAGAAGTCTCATACTGCATGATTCAAGATGTATTATAAAAATACAGTAATCCAGAGAGTGTAGTATTGGTGAAAAGACACAAGTATCCCCGGGGCAGGGTGGAGAGTGCACGCAGATACGGCCACACACAGCCGGCTCATTGATTTTCAGAAAGATACCGAGGATATTCAGTGGAGGAAAGATGGCCTTTTCCACCTGTTGTGCTGGAAAATCGAACGTCCATATTCAAAAATAAATAAGCAAATCCCAAGTTACACCTTACACCTTAGGCAAAAATTAATTCAAAATGGATCATAGGCTGCAATGTAAGCATTAAAATATAAAACTAGTAAAAAAAAAAAGGAGAAAATCTTCATGACCATGCGTTAGACATGAAATGAGAAACATGATCCAGAAGAGAAACTATTGATTAAATTGGACCTCATCAAAATTTAAAACTTACTCGGTGAAAAGCCCTACTAAAGCCACAGACTGAGAAAAAAATATACCTGTATATCGTATGTGGATAAAGGATTTGTATTCAAAGCTCAGTAATAAGAAGTCTTATACATTTCTAGTAAGAATGCAAACTAGTTCCCTCATTCCAAAAAATACGTTAGGAATTTTTACAAAGTTAAACATATACCTACCATATGATCCAACAAAACCATTTTAGGTAATTAATCAAATGAAGTAAAAACCGATGTTCACACAAAAAACCATATGCTCATAGTAGTAGTACCTGTGGTCACCAAAAATTAATAACCCAAGTGTTCTTCAATTGGTGAGTTGATAAATGAACTGTCATAGATCCAGAAAGGAAAATGCTACTCAAAAATAAAATGAACAAATGATCGAGGCACACAACAGCTTGAAATGATATCAGATGCTTTCTTCTAAGTGAAAAAAAAATCCAGAGTTACAAAGCAATGTGCTGTGTGATTCCATCTCTACAACTTTCTTCCTTCCTTTCTTCCTTTTCTCCCCCTCCTCTCTTTTCTTGTGAGACAAGGGCTCACTCAGTAGTCCAGGCTGGTCAAACTCCCAGCGATTCTCCTGAGTGCTGGGATTACAGGTGTGCAGCACCATGCCTAGCTATCTCTACAACACTGCGAACAAGGTAAAAATGTGGGGATGAAGAAGTTAGAAGATTCCAGGAATGGTTTGATGATTAAGGGGTTGTATAAAAATACCACAGGGAATGATGAAACAATTTTGTATTTGATTGCAGTGATAATTAAATGTGCATTTGTCAAAACTCATAGAAATGGACACTAAGAGGTATAAATTTTAGTGTATGCAAATGTAAAAGTTAAATTTAAGAAAGTGCAATGCAGTACACACAGAACATGAAAGAAGTCATATATTTAGGAGTTCTGAGGTCCTTGCATTGTCCAAGGAACTATGAAAAATCTAGTAAATGAAGAATGAATGTTGTAATTTCTCTATATTTCTTCTCTTCCCTTTGTGGCATAAGACCAGAGAGCACGGGTGAGGTGAGATTTTTAATGACTCTCATAGACCTCTGTAGTGTTTAAATGTTTTGAAGTAGGCTTTTTTCACACCTAAAAAGTACCAAGAACTCTCATTCATTACTGATGAGGATGCAAAATGGTACAGCCGCTTTGGAAGTCTGTGTAGCATTTTCTTTAAAATGCTGCTAAACATACTGATCCTGTACAACCAAGCAGTCAGCCTTTCAAACAAGATTAAAATACACAATCCACAAAAAACCTGCATTTGAACATGAAAACTTCTGCACTCATGATTGTCAAAACATGTGAGCAACCCATGCACCCTTCTAAAGAGAAATAGAGCCACCGTGCAACGTACAAGGAATGATCAAAATGTACGGTGAATGCTTAAGTTAAAAAATCTACAGATTGTCGTTAATACTCCTCAAAATACTTGCCTTGCTTCAAGCACTCTTATCCCACTGTTTCTGCTGCTTTCTGAAGCACTTCTGGAAGTCCTCTTTTGTGAGTGTCTTCAGAAGTTTTGGTATAAATCTACGGAGACTGGTGCTGCTGAGTCCCTAAGAACAGGCTGGCTCCTAAGTACGTCACTGTGTGTCTTCAGCCACCTCTTTCACTCCATCTGTCCCCAAGTGGCTTCTGGCTCTTCTCTAGTGTAAATGACCATGAAAGGTAAAATGTTTTGAATTGATTTAAGGCATCTTGGCAGCCACACCACAAAGGCAAACACAAAAGAAGACTTCCAGAACTGCTTCAGAAAGCGGCATGAATGATGAGATAAATGTGTTTGAAGTGGGGCTGGGGATTTAGCTCAGCGGCACAGCACCTGCCTGGTAAGCGTGAGGACGTGAGTTCGATTCCTGGTACCAGGGAAAAAATTTTAAAAAGTGTGTTTGAAGTGAGGGGGAGTATCTCATGAGGGATCAACAGCAATAAGTTTTTTACTTTGATAAATACTTAAAAATGTAAATATTCACCTGGTATATGCAATGGAATATTGTACAATGACAAAAAGACAGAAGAAACCTGAATGGTTCTCACTAAGTGAAAGAAGCCAGTCTGAAAAGAGTGCACATTGTCTGATTCCAGGTTTATGACATGAAAAAAGTAAAGCTCTGAAGAGAGTTAAAAAAAAAAAAAAAAAAAAATCAGTGGTTCCCAGGGGTTGAGGGAGGAAGGGATGCACATGCAGAGCACAGAGGACTTCTAGAGTGGCAAAACTACTCTGAGGACACAGTGACAGTGGATATCTGCCACTGTACTTTTATCCAAGGCAGTAGAATGTGCAAAGCCAATAATAATAGTGTAAAGCACTGTCTTGTCAGTTACAGCCAATGACCGTGATTTGCTGCAAGATGTTTATAAGAAGGGTCTCTTGTGGGGGAGGGGGACTCTCTGCACTTCCCATTTTATTTTTCTGTAAATTTGAAACTGTTATAAAAAATAAAGTCCATTAACTTAAAAAAAAGTTATCCCCTCACTTGTAAAATTAGAGGCTATATATAATTTTATATATAAATTAATACACAGTTACAACGTTGACATACACTATATATACAATTTCTAAGAGTAAGTCTAATCTGACTTACACTTGCCACTGTATCACTTCAGGATGAACAGTGATTTTTGTCTCCGAAAGGCTAAAGGATGGAGGGAAAGGGCCAGCAGTGGATCAGCGGCATTCAGCTCCCCAGCCGGGCAGCAGGAAAGCGGGGATTTAGCTCAGCGGCACAGCGCCTGCCTGGCAAGCGCGAGGTCATCAGTTGGATTCCTGGTAGAGGGTGGAGGGAGTTACTGTACAGAGGAGCTCTCCCGGCAGAGGAGGCTCGACACCGGGCCATTGACTCTCAAGCGTCCCATGGTTGCTGAACCCTGCTGGGGGTGTCTGGGAATTACAACAGGAAAAGCAGGGCTGCCTAACAGGGCCCTTTGGGGATCAACTCTGCGCATCCTGGCAGAATTGTGGGGTAAGAAACAGTCTCTACCATTCTGCTCTGCAGGAGAAAGAATCCATGTGGCCATTCAGCTGCGGGCAGAGGCAGGAGCCCAGATCCAGCCAGCAGAGCACACATCACCCCCGCCGCCGCCCCCCGCCCCCGTTCCTCCTCCTCTCCCCAGGGCTTCCAGAACTCAGGGCAGGTGGCTTCCCCAGGCTGGGCCCAAGTCTACTCCACGGTCAGCCTCCTCCTCCCCAGTGAGGCGGAAGAGTGCCGCAGGGCTTCTGCTACTGAGCTGGACCGCTTCGGGGACTCTAGCATACATTTTTAAATTTTTTGCAAGCAAATTGGCTCTCTCTCCCACACCATTGCTCCACTCTCCTCCATAATTCATGGAAGTGCTGGCAGCTCTTTGCTCCCTTAATCACCCTGACTTCTGGCTCTAAAACTGGGCCAACTGTAATCCTCCCACTTAAAACAAGAACCACATGTTTGTTTTATGTTTATTATTTCATATTCCATTTATTATCCTAAAAGCTACATCTGAGACCATTAGTTCTGTAAGCTGTCTGAGAAGCATGAGTGTTGTTTATTCTTTGGCAAGATGCTAAGAATTTCCAGGAGACTCAGAAGTCACAGTGGAGAAAGGAAATATCATGGATATTTTCTGCACTTGGAAAGGCTTTTCAGCCTTTTGTTACAGCCTTAAGATTTATATCCTTGGAAAAACAAACCATGGTGCATTAACATGATGGATCACCATATGGCCGTTTGAAATTACATGAACAAGATCTACAGTCTTACACACAAATGAACATACGGAAACATCTTAAATGCCAAACGCACAGTACAAAGTCGCTTATATGCATCAGAGAGAAGTAAGTGAAGATGACAGTGTGGGGATGACGATCAATAAATAATTATTTGGAAGGAGATAAAAATGGATTTGTGGGAAGTATTTGTATCCTATGAAACTGAGCATATTTAATAAGTAGGTAAGAGTCCTACAAGGAAAAGAGCAGACATTTTTCCTTTCCAACTCCACTTTAAATCTTATTGCAGTTTTCAAGTGGTACTCTTTTCTTATAGTTTTAGAGAATTAACAAAAGTTAGCCTTCTCCTGCTACCTCCCAGACTCAAATTTTTACACTTTTGGCTGGTCTCGGAGACTCCTCCAGGATTCTAGCGTGCACAGGATGCTGCTTGGATGTCTTTTTGCAACCCCATTGGGTTGATTTGAGTTTTAAGAGTCTTGTCTTTGTGGTCTGCCAAAACCAATAGTAAGCCCTCGTCTAGAGAAGCAGATGGTTAAGCTAGGACGCTCCACTTGTGTTATGCTTATGTGACACTTTGCTTATGCCACTTTTCATGGCTGGTAATCCTCCTCCTCAGGCATCCCCTGTGATCCTAACCAGTGTGTAACTCTGGATCGGCTTCCTGTGCTTACCGTGGAAATTTGTTCTTACAGTTCTGGAGGATGGAAAGGAAGTCCAGGTGTCGGAAGCACTGGTTTCTTCTGGAGTCTGTGTGAGGCTCTCTGCTAGACTCTGGTGGCTGCAGCAGGCATTGCTCTTCCTTGGGGTAGACGTGTCATTCTAATCTGCCTCCACCTTCACGTGGTACTCTCCGCTGTGGTTATCTCTAGGTCCAAATTTCCTCCTTCAGGTATGATACACCCTGTGAAACAAAAGGAAAATGCTCAAAAGTAAAGGGCAACTGGGGTGTGGGAAAAGAGAAGGGAAAGAAGGGGAAATTATGTAAGTATGTATATACAGGGTAGCTGACATAATTGTACTACTGTCTCCTATTGCTCTACAGAAAGGAATAGTTAATGATTACTTGTTTGATCAATCTTGTATGTCTCTATTTGTTTTCCTGAGAAGCCACTTTGAAGATATCAGTAAGTAATAATACGACAACCATGGTTAATTTCCTACCACTTTGTCCGTAACTCGGTTTTGTTTGTATTGTTCTTATGCTATCTTGTAAATGGATGTCTGTCTGTTAATATGTTTTCCTTCTTTTATTTCTTAAAATAAAAGAAAATTTCCTCCTTCAACTTTTTTTTCCAGTACTGGAAATTGAATGCAGGACGTTTGCACTCAGCTTTGTCCCCAGCCCTTTTTATTTTTCATTTTGAGGTAGGGTCTCACTAAGTTGCTAAATTTCCAAGCTATGTTTGGCATTTCAATCTTCCTGCTATAGTCCAAGTGCTGAGATTACACACCAGCGGAAATTTCTTTCTTCTTATAGGGATGCTTCTTATCCAGGATGACCTCATCTTAACTTGATCGCACCCACAAACACCTTATATCTTAATAAGGTTACATTCGCAGGTAGCATGGACCAGGATTTGAACACCTCTTTTTGGCAGTTAAAAATAATCTGTAACACCCTGAATGGCAGAGATCCACTTTATCAGGTTTATTCATTCACTCATTCAGTATAATCCATGGAGTCCCGACTATTTGAGGAGCCCTATCTCTGACCCTGGCAAAATGGCCACAGGCAAGGCAGGGCCCTCCCCTCTCAGAACTTAAGTTGACTGTCCAAACACAGGTGCCTGCCTTTCAAGTAAAGAGCATACTGGGGAGAACGTAACCCCAGGTAACAGGACAGACAGCGATAGGTGGGCCGGGGACAAGGTCAGAATTTCCACCCTGTGTCTTCCCGCGTGGAAGTTTATAGTTAAATGAGGCAACCAGGTATCAAATGAGTACACAAATCCACGTGAAAGGACAACGGTGACCAGCGTTGCAGGAGGACAGGACATGGCTTTGGCCTAGCCAGGAAGATCCAAACACAGGGCCTTGAAGTCTTGACATAACAACACCCTCAGGATGCAAGTCATTTCCTTTTTGTGAAAACGATCATGTGACCAGCTTGCCTACCTCCACCTCAAGTTTCCTCGGCTCCAAGCATTATCAGCCCCTCGGTGCAAAGACCCATGGGAAACCTGTGAATGCCTGCTCTTCACACACTAAGAAGAATGCCGAAAGCAAGTAGGCAGCGACAGCCGCAGTGGGTCTGGTTGCTGCACGCTTGCACAGCTCTGGCTGTTGCTTGTGTCCCAGCTCCTCCCTGCTCAGTGTAGGCAGCAAGGCAGCACCGCATCGCCCAGCAGCTTGTTAGAAATGCAGGACCTCGGGCCTGGCCTGGACCTCCTGATGCAGACTACATCTTACCAAGATCCCAGGATAGTTTGTTTGCTCATCAGAGACTGAGCAGCACTGCTTTAGGGCCCCGTATGACTACTACATATTCCTTCTTCATAATGACACTGCAAAGTCTGCAGAGAGGGGAAGCAAGAACTTATGTGCATAGAGCAAAGCTAAAGAGGCATCTTTGTGTGTCTTTGGAATTTTGGGAGGAACTTTGCCTGTTCCGAAAGTAAAGCTTCAGGGCCTATCGGTGAATTCAGGTTATATATTTCTTGGTGTGTGTAAATACTTCGAGGTCACTGGAGATAAGCTTCATAAATTACTTTTCTTGGATGTTAAACAACATCTTCCCCTGGAAGGTGTAACATCCATCCAAGCAGGCCTGAGAATCAACCTTTTCCCACAGGTCCAAGCCACAGAAGTCACAATAATCACTGATGACCTAGAAACCTTCCATTAAGCAGGTAATGTGATATGCTACTGGCAGCTTAGAATGTTTTCTGTTCTAGTTTTTTTTCTGGTCTAATACCTGAATTTCAGCTTCCTAGGAGAGCATATTGTCAGAGCAATCGTAGAGGATGCCTGGACTTACAATAAGACAATGTTGACAGGTATGTAAGTTTTTATCCATTGGTCATTGAGCAACCCCTGTGTCTGCTTATAGCTTGTCTGCATATTTCCAGGGTCCTTCATCAGACACTAAGTCAGCCCATTCTGGAGACATGATCTGGCTCTATCCCCCAAATGCTTTCAGATATTTGATCATGTGGAAATAGTGGTCATTAGAATGAAGATCTATAGCAGCTCATGTAGATTGTAGAAATCATTAAAAACCCAGAGTGCAGCATTTTAAGCTTCCTGTGTCTCATGCATACTTCTAAAGATTGTTACAATGTATTTTAGTTTCCCAGGACCTAACACATAATCAGCTTAAATAATGCTTATCAAATACAATAGCTCTTCAAAAAGTTCCAATGAACCAGGGTTACATTACATTTTGAATACCATAGAAGATGGTGCTGTTTCTCCATCAACAGGGTGGTGAATATATATTTTTCCACTCCCATGATCTTCTATAGAAAATAAGATAATCTCTAGATATGCATCTGCACTAGGTGCACTGATTAAGTACATTAACAACACATTGACAGACACGTTATTGAACAGCTGGAAGGAGCAGAAGAAATAGGAAGGTGAGGATAAAACACTATGATTCCCAAGCATCCAGACTGAAAATCAAAGATATCTTTAAGGAATCATAACCAGCAGCTTCACATTTCAGGATTTATATTAAAGAAATAACCAGCTATGGAAAGATGTGGAAACAAAGAGATTGGTTGCAATTTGGGCTATAGTGGTGAGAAATTGGAAGTAGCATGAATGTCCATCAGTATGAAAAGGTCCAAGTGATAGTATTCCCATCCTACAGAATGGGATACTCTATCCATCAAGGGTGTGCATCTATTGCCAGGGTGAGACGTGCAGGACATGCCGTTAAATAAGAGGGGCAAAACTGCAGAACAATGTGCATTGTGTGATCTTGGTCCCTTCATACAGATCCGCATCCCTACATTTGTAAAGAAATATCCAGAAGATATACACCAGGTTGTTGATTTTGATTATCCCTGGAGGGAAAGAGAAACAGCCGTCATGCAGTTCACGTTTAGAAAGAGCTTAAATGAGCTGGCTTGCTGTGTGCTTCGCTCGCTTTACCTTATCTAATTCTTTTTTTTTTTTTTTTTTCTCCGGTACCGGGAACCGAACTCACGACCTTGCGCTTGCCAGGCAGGCGCTTTGCCGCTGAGCTAAATCCCCAGCTCTACCTTATCTAATTCTTAAAGCAACCATAGAGTATCAGCACTATCATCACCCCCTCTACACAGATGCAGACACATGGAGAATATCTAACATACCAGGGACATGGCATAGGGGGAGCAAGAGCCCACTCTGCACCCCTAAATCTTGGGGGTATACACTTCTAACCACTGAGCTTAAAAACGTTCTGTAATACTCACATTTGCTTGTTTACAGCAGGCATGTACTAGTTTCAAAAAGTGAAATATTTTTCTGAACATCACAGAATGTTACAGCTATGGGAAAATTTAATCAAGGCCCACAGGTACCGCAAAAGTAGTAAACACTCTGGTGTCCCAGCATCATCATGTGACTTGTTCAGTGATGCGCAGCCCTTCCCGCAAGCTCAGCAGGACGGAGACAGTAAGAAGAGGTGGAGCCTGTGGCACTGTGGGTAACACGAGCCTCACCTAATTGCTGTCATGTGCGGATGTGGGGTTCATACAGCCAGAACTTCCAATTTGGGAGAAATCTTTAGATGTGCAGAATTGTTAATACAATCTCAGTATTTTTAGCATTGAAAAGAATTAAGAAGCAGTTCAGTCATTGCATGGGCAAATAAGAGAGGCTGACAGGCTGGAATTCACCAGCAACTCACCCATGTATCACACGTGCAGAGGTACATGCTCAGTTAGAGGAAGCATGGATGTCCAGAACCCAGACACCCCGAGTTCCAGTCCCGTGTTCTTCCCATTTGCTTCACTGCCTGGCCTCACCAGCACATATCCTTTCAAGACTTAACCCCTCCACCCAAAGGGGCATGCTAACCAGAGGGGTGTTGTGTGGCAGGGGAAAGCTGTCCCTAAGGGCAGCTCCCTACCTCCCCCATCAGGTGTGGGGCAAGGTCCTGGTCTTCCTCCTCTAGCTCCAGGGTGGAAATAACTCATCTTCTCTTGAATCGCCATAGAGGCTTGTGATTCTCTCCCTGGAAATCATAGGGACAGTGATGCGGCAGAGAAGGCAGAGAAGCTGCCATCTGGGATATAGAAAGCTCCTACTGCATGAACAGGCACGGCCTTAACACATGCTCTACGGCAACCCAGCAGCCGCATGAGCTGGGAAGTTAGAAGTATCTGTTGTCTAACAAATGTAGTCATTTCTAAGCTATAAGGCACGTGCTAGTCAGTGATTCTATAAGGCTGGTGAAATAACCTTAGAAGCTGTGGCAGACAGCGTTAAATGTCACTGCAGACTGTATGCAACCTGTCCTATGGTGGACACACAAACAGCTAATGAAAAAGTTCTTCCCTTTCCTTTTTCTCTCAATCTTCTTGAAATCATTAATCATTGATAGGGAAGTCTTTATTCATAGATGACAGGATTTTAATGACTCTTTGTTTCCTAACCTCCCTTTTTACAGAGAGACAGAGAGAGAGAGAGAGAGAGAGAGAGATTGACTCGCACTCAGACCTTAGACTCAGATATTTGTCAGTTGAGAAGATATGGATAGTACCATGGATTTGTTTACATTATACATATCTTTACAGCTACTGTCTACTTATTATAAGTGGAGCTAGCTCCTAGCCACGTTAATTTTTATGTACAAAAGTAAGTTTTTTTAAAATGAGTTAATTATAAAGTGAATTGATCAAAAGAACAACGCTAACTAGTCCAAGATGGAATGAAGGTACGGCAGAACCTTGCAGTGGTGTGGGTGCTGGACTGTGTGCCTTGACTGAAAGATATTAAGTACAATGCATCATAATCCCATAAAGGAGAAAGTGATGTGTCTCAGCTCCGGGCTGGTGCTGGGTGGTTGATTTATGATGCTCACTGATTGCTCATATTGCAGTTAGAAGTAAAAGCATCATCTGCAGCTCTCTGGGAGCACCTTGGAGCTCTAACAGGCCACATCTAGCTACTGTTTTATTTTCTGCAAACCCAACATTGCCATGGCACAAATGAACTCAAAATTGTAACCGAGTCTCCCAAGAAAAGTGTAGCTACTAGCTTTATTATTAAACAGCTGGTGTCTAGATCCCACCTTTATTTGACTAGTAAAATTATCTTTTTCTTGTTGGAAGCTATTAATGATGGTGACCTTAAAAATGAAAATGGCATTCATTAGGGAATATGTTTAGCTGAATCCAACAGAAACTGCCTGATGTCTCGCAGAGCTAGAATTAGAAATAACAAAAAGAAAACTCCTGAGTAGAGTTCACTATATCACTTCATGATTTCCACTCTTCTGACTGTAGGAAAACTAACCCAAAAATTCTGCTGTGTTATTGCTGAGGGTAAGGACATTTAAAACCCTAACATAGTACTGAGATATTAATTAACAAAATGGGAAACCAAATTGTGTATTCAGGGTGAACATAGATGTGTTTATATATACACATACAAAATAACATGTCAATTAGTGACGGGATTTAGCTGTGCTTTTATTCAGTTTTTCCCCTTTATCTTTAAATATTACTCACAGTATTCAATAAAATAATAGAATTTGATGACTTAAATGTTTCACATTGAGAATTATTTATAATGTATTTCTCGACAACCTTCCTCCCTCCCAAAAATTCATGTAGAATAAAACCATAGAAATTTAAAAAAGACAAATCCTACAGTGTAAGGCAAAACCAACAGCAAATACAAGTGAGTGTGGTTGAGAAGGGAAGGGACCCCTGCGGACAGAGAAAGTGTGTACGGAGAGCAGGGGAGACACAACAAATGGGACAAAAACACCTGGGGAAACTTTGCAAAATATTTTAGAGTTCTTTATATTTTCCTTGAAATGTAGAATTTTCTTATATCAAAATAAAGTGTTACTAAAAAGCTTAGATTGAGTAAAACTGAGTGTTCAGTTTAGCACTGAGCCTAATCAGTTCAGCAAAATTGGAAAGTCTGTCTTTAGAAATGAAACATTTTCATAAAATGTTTCCGTATTATGTAGACCTTGTAATAATTTTTGGATAATGCAATGCTCTAGGCAGAAAGAGAAAGTGATCTAATGACATTCATCATCCAGTTCCATCCAATCTGCACTTTTTATTATATGTGCTCCATAGTGTTGAGATATAAATTGAAGCTCTCTGTGCACCATGCCCTCATCTCATCTCCTTCTTCTTTCCTCAGAAGGAATCTTTATCCTAAATCACATTTTGCACACCTTAAAACCTTGGGCAGAGGTGTCTGTCTCTGTTGCTATGGTAAGAATGCATTTTCCAATGTAATGATCACATGGAAGGCCATGTGTTCAAGACTTACTGTGGAGAAGGACATTCTTTAGTCACTATTTTGCGTATTGCCTGAGGCCTGACCAAGCCATGATTGCTGGGTTCTGGAGGAAGTCTAGCATAAGCATTGTAAGCCCCAGGATCAATACTAGATGCTTTGCTGAGATATGGGCAAAGGAAGATAACATGATGGCTTCCTGGTCAGGTTGCATTCCTATGATAATTGAGTTGGATTGTCCTTGCTAAAAGGGTTGATATCCTCCAATTCCTCTGCTGCCTCCTGGGTTGATTCTGAATGAAAGGTTACTGAAGATGGTAATCAGGGAGTCAGTCAGTCCTAGAGGCTGCTAGCACCTGATCACAGAATTTTGGCTCTCTTGGTTTGATTTTTTCTTACTTTTCCTATACATCTGTGGGCACCTAGTTCAGGGGATCTGTTCACCCTGGACAGAGTCGGATGAGAAATCCAACAACTTACTCTTGAAGAGGTGGTAGGACCTTCAACAGGTGACGAGGGCACCGGCGGTTCTGCCGTCATGAATGGATCCCTGTCATCATTGCAGGAGTAGGTGTATGACAGAGGAGAACTTGGCCCCCTTTTGCACTCTTCTGATCACTTACTTCCGCCTACTGACACATGAAGCAGGCCCTTGCCAGATGCTGACCTCTCATCCTTGAACTTCTCCATCTCCAAAGTACCAGAAATAAATCTGTTTGCTATAAATTACTCAGTCTCCAGTATTTTGTCATCATTTATTGCTTGGGTTCTTAAACAGTGGTTCACAGTAAGCATCAATCCATAACTTTTTTTAACCTAAGATTTTTTAGTCTGTGTGTGTTGATACCTATAGTTCTAGTTCATCAATTTCCACTGCTATATAGTATTTCACTAAATAGTATAAATAAGCAACAATATATTTATCCATCCTCCTGGTGATGATTATTTAGGTTGGTTACAGTTTTTCATCACTACCAAAAAATGCCTGGTAATAAACAGCCATGTGCATGGAAAATAAGTGCAGAGGATCTGTTTGCAAACCATGAATAACTTGGGGTTGCTATGCTCCTATCAGAGTGTCTACAAGGACAAACTTGTTTACAGTAACACTGAACCATTGTTTGAGTAGTTTCCTGTGTCATGCTTGCACTGATAGTGTCTTAATTACTTTCTCACTGCTTGAACAAAATATGGGACAGCCATAAGTTGGAGGAGGAGAGGTTTATTCTAGCTCACAGATTATAGAAGTTTCAGTCCACAGTCAGCTGGTTCCAAGGCAGGGTGGCATTGCAGAGGAGGAACAGTCCATGGCAGGGCAGGCAGGAAGCAGCCATTCTTTCTTCTTCTTTCTCTTTCTATTCCATTGAGATTACAAAACTATTGATTGGTGCCACCCACACCCAGGGTGTGTCTTCCCTCTTCAGCAGTTCTATCATCCACACCCAGAATGATGCTGAACCAATTAGTGGACTAATCTAGTTTCACACACCTATCATCAAGTCACCTCCCAAAAACCTCACTTACGAGTACATGAGGACTGAAGGGACACCTAGATATAAACCATAACGGGTAGCTAAAACAATGGTGGGTAAAATTGCTGGTGCCTAGCACCAAACTCTCCCAGAGGCCATTGTATCCTTCACCACCATATATTTGTAAGAGAAAAGAAAAACAGAAAAGAATGAGAAAGAAAATTAGTTGAGGATGGCATAACTGGTGACACTAATTAATTATTATAATCCCTTGGGAAGTGATGAAGTAGTGGTCAGGTGAGAAGTGTGCATTGAACACTTCTACGGCACATCCAAGGAGAATGTGGATCTTGAAGGAAAGTGCTGCATGATCATCTCAGTTGCCAGCCGAACAAGCCATTCTTTTCAGGGAACACCACTGTACTTGAAAGAATTCCTGACAGTCTGTGAGGCTCAGAAGGGTGCACTGACACATAGTTCCTTGATGATGAACAAAGGGAGCCTGCTGCTTCAAGAAAAACAATGATCAACATCTGTGTTCAATGGTGAAACTTAAGCTTTCAAAAGAAAATCAGAATTGTAGAAAATGTGTGTCTGCAACCATAAGCCTGACAGCTTCCCAATAATTAAAGATTTTTCTGGCAGATTGAGTAGAGGTATTAATAGATATGATTTTTCTGCTTTGTTATGTAGGCAGAACTATGTCAACATTTAGTTAGTTTGACATTGTTATAACGAAATACCTGAAGCAAGCTACTTATGAGGAGAATGAGGTTTGGAAGGTTCAAAGCCATGGTGCTGGCACTGGCTGAACTCCACTGAAGACCCACTTAGCTGCAAAGGATCACGGCAGATGATCAGCCGTGGAACTGCATGGGAAGGATAGATTACATCACCAAACAGGAAGTGAGAGTTCAGTAGTACCAGGCTCAGGCTTTCATAACAACGTTCTGGTAATGCCAAGAGTTTCCACTAACCTGCCTTCATCTCCCACACGGCACTCCCATTTGGACCACCTCTGAAATGCTCCATGCCATCTCCCACCACCACTGGGGACCACACTCCAAGCACAAGAAACTTCTAGAACCATCCTTATTCAAACCATAGCCCTGCATAACTAGATGAGCCAACAGCCCCTAAAGACCAACACATCATACTCCATAGTCACACCCAGGTAAGTCATCCAAGGCACAAAAGAGACTCATGCACTTTAATATAACAGAGTAAGGACGTTTCATTAAAATGTTTTCAGATTCCACATTTGCAAGAAGTGTTAAGAAACCACCACACGTCAAGTTTTGGTGTAATATCAAAGAATGGTCATGGTGATCTATTCAATGGGATTAAAATCTTTATGCCTTTCCAAATGCATAGCTGGGTGAGGCCAGAGAGTCTTCACAAATATCAACCAAACAACATTCACACCCAGTAAATGCAAACGCAGAGAGGAGAACCCCGCTGTTTCCCCCAAGCCAGACATTCAAAAGATTAGCAAAAGTATAAAATAATGCCACTCCTTTCACTGAATGAAATTTGAAAAATGTGATTCTGCTTATAAAAATCCATAATTTATATTGACATTTAACAGTTGATTATTGTCTGTAATGAACTGAGAAGTATGTTTAAAATTTCCTAGTTTTAATTTCTAACATGGTCTCGGTTGATATAAACCCCACGAGCATCTCGGATATATAGGGACAGCATGAGTGCATCCCAGCTCTCCTAGACCCTGCCGAATAACTCTCCATCCTGGCTGCCTCATACCCCTAAGGATCTCTTTTTACTCAAGAGCACTGCATAAAACAACAGACTATGTTGTAAAAAGTGGTTTCTTAGAAAGCGAAGAAATACTCTTTGAGAGTTAATTTCTCTTAAGGTTAGCCATTCTCATGATAGTAGGTGATCATGGAGCTGTTCTGCTGTTAAGGATAATGCTAATGTTTGTCTCCTGCTATAGACCATATTTCTATCTATTTATCTAAAGCAAAGATTTTTTAAAACTTAGAGTTCCCAAATCTGAAACCAATTTATTCAGGAAATGAGTGAGTTCTTTTAAAAAGTTAATGCTGGTAGTTCTAAATAAAGGGCCTCACCGGGGCACATGAAGAAAAATGTAGTTCCTACAAACAAAGAAATGAATTCCATTTCTAAAACACATGCATTTAAAGCCACTAACAAGGTTGATATTGAGGTTTCAGGTCCAGCCTGGGCCTCAGTTTTCCCTTCTGTAAATGGAGGGTGTAAGACAAGGTATTTTTAAAGGCCCTTTCTACTCTGAAGTGCTGCAAATTCATTTTATTATATAGCACATAAACGGCACAGCCGAAAGCCAGGAAAGAGCCAGGCAGCGTGTTCAAAAAGAGATCTGAAATGGAGAGAGTGTGCACCCTGCCACTGGGACGCCTGAAATTTCACACGGCAGCCAGTCTTTCATTTCCCCTGTCTTTATGCACGCCTGAGAAATTAACTTCACATTCCAGCTTCTGGGTGATGCAGGGAGGCTGGAAATTGTTACATTTGCTGAAATGATTTTGTAAGTGCTCTTATTATATCGCCCATCCCTGCCAATTTAGGCAGTTTGTCCAAAGAGGATGTCGCTCAAAGCGTTTGCATAATGCTTCTGCAGTGGGAGGGATTCTACTTTCCAGATGGGATGTGAGTTTCCCCAGCTGTGGTCTCCGCTAACCTACTTTACCGGCGTGTGGCAGATACGCGCACATCCCCAAACTGTCTACCCCGTATGTCAGTTCACAGAGGGGGCTGCACTTGGGCCATGTCACCAGTGTCGTTCGGGCTGGTCAGGCTGTGTAGTGATGGTACCCTGTAGGAAAAAATCATCCGAGTATACAGAGGCTTTGTGTTTAATAAATTGCTAAAGAACCAAAAAGCCCACATAGAAATCATCCTTTCTAGAATTGCTTGACAATATTTCATTTTTAAATGAAAACTTTCACTCAAGCAGAATTTGGGATGGGAGAAATCAGTGTCTGAATTTCCTCTAAGAGATTTCCACAGGTTCTGGGCTGTGCTTGACTACTGAGCTGTAGTTGGGGCAGCCCAGCACAGCCTGTGAGGAGCACACTACCCCAACCTGTGCTGTCCAGTGTGGTAGTGGCTACAAGCCACACGGGGCTCCCTGAGTGTCTGAAGAGTGGCTTATACTGATATGTGACTGAGTTTTAAATTTCATTTCATTTTAATTAATTTAACTGTAAAAGGCCACATGTGACTGGTGGCCAGCACCTAGTCTGCCTCGAGGAAGACAATACGAGGAGCACTTAGGCAAGTGGAGTCAGGGACTCAGGCAGCCTGGCTTTCGTCTCCTGCTGTCCCTCTCCAGCTGTGTGATGTCCGGTAGATAATTTAACTTCTCTGAGCCTGAATTTCCTCATTTGTGTGCACACACCCACAGACACACACACACACACGCACACATAGCATACATACACGCCAACGCATACATACGTGCTTAATCTCTGCAACAATTCCAGTCACCAACGCACAATTATTGTCCCTTTTTTTTTTTTTTTGGTTTTTTCTCCGGTACCAGGAACCGAACTCACGACCTTGTGCTTGCCAGGCAGGCGCTTTTGCCGCTGAGCTAAACCCCCAGCCCCTATTGTCCCTTTTTGACACATCCAGTAGAACTCACACAGAGTGCTCAGGATAATTTTAAAAAGCTAGAAGAAAGAATTGTGACTATTTGCAACATAAAGAAATGATAAAGATCTGAGGAGGTAGATATGTTTACCCAGATTTGCACATTACCCAGTGTATACTTGTATGGAAATATCACATGATGCTCCATAAATATGTACAATTTTTATGTTTTTTATCTATCAGTTAAAATAGATTTAGAGCTAAGTATTTGTTACTTTTCCTATGCAAGTTTCTATACAACATTTATTTCCTTTTTTTTTTTGTTTTTTTTTCCAGTACCGGGAATTGAACTCATGACCTTGCGCTTGCCAGGCAGGCGCTGTGCTGCTGAGCTAAATCCCCACCCCCTATTTCCATTGTTATATCTCTCAGGTAACTCAAATTCAACACATCCAAGGGACAGTTTTC